TATCTTTGTCCTCACGATAACGTTACGATTCCTTTAAACTAAGCACCAATCACTAAAAATTCGTGCCGTCTTGTGCAGACACAAACCCAATATGCTTCGCATTGTCACATACACATATTTTAAAAACATAAAAATATTTTCACTGTCTTTATTCAAAAATATATCATGAGACCGAACCGAAGAACATAACCATCACCTTTAAAAAGGCCTTGTATTAATCGGCTTTAAATTTTACGTTCGTATTATATAATGGGTTTAGATGGGCTTAAAGCTAAGCCCATTAAAGGAGTAAAAAAAGTCCAAGAAAGCAATTCACAAGTGTTTTTGTTTCCCCTCACAATCCTTTAGAACCGGGAAGATCAATCCACTGAAGCTCAATTTCAACTTCACCACGCTCAACGTTACGTAGACGTAGACAAATGTTTTGAACGATTCGGTCATTGATGCATCGGACATAGCTTTCCTCGGCTAAGCAGTTGCTACGGTTCGGGTGGATCGTCGATATAATGGTTCCGTCCGGTAAACCGGAAAGCTCCATTCGTAATGCTTCGATGTACGGTTTCAAATCGATCTCTGCGTCTCCCATTTTATCGTCCTTGCTGAAGAAATCGTGGTCGTACACAATCTGTTTTTTGTTTAAACCAAGACGATTAAGTAAATTTGTAAAACCGGTCCGGTTTAGATAGTGATGGATTTAAATTTGGGAAAATTTACCAGATTGAGCGGGAGATTAGGGTCGGTGACGGTGAATGTTAAATCTTCTTCCCAATTTGGGTTTACATTTTTCTTCACCACTTTGGTTTTTAATTTCTGCAAAAGAATATATTATGAGTATGTGAAAACAGTAACTTCATTGTTAGCAAAAGACAGAGAGAGATTATGGACCGAAAATCCGAATTTGATTGTTCTTTTGTTTTTAAAAGGAGGGAGAGAGAGAACCTGGCGACCTATCTTGAGGACGACGTAAGGATCGCTGCTGCAAACGTCACGAACGGCGAGATTGATACCGCGTTTGACGCGAACCCGAAGGATACCTAACAGATTATCCATCAGCGACATTCTTTCTCCGACGGTAATTGGTTCAAAACAAAACGAATTAAGGACTAGTATGGAAAACTGGAAGAGCTGTTATATATGATGAAATTGAAAATGTGGATACTATTCGAATAATTTGATTTATTATATAACTAGTATAGAGTACAACCACATCATCACATTTTTATTTTATTATTTTTGTGCTAGAACGTGAGAACCGCTTAAACGCCACTCCCCTTCGCGAGATTCTGTATATAATAAATATTTTTCTTCATTTTCGTGGAACAAAAAAGAAGAAGACATGCAAGTCATAACAATTAACATCCTCTGTCCGAAATCAGGCTCGTTGTTGACTCACCTGAGAAAATTCTTGATATATTATTATATCCAAAATGTTATGTAACCGTTATTATATATGTAAACGCGTTACAGATAAACCTACAAATCAGTCCCAAAAATAGCTATCCTTTAATTAGAAAGTCTATGGTTCAGTGTGTCAGGAGTATCGAACTATAAGTTAGAGAATCTGTACAGAAAGTTTCTGGTCTCTCTGGTGCTGTTTTACCGATTTTTAATTTAACCTGGTTCGGCCATTACTGGTGAAAGGCTAATGGTTCAGCGAGAGGCTGTGCCACGTCAGCACCGAGGGGATCCAAAACCACCTGTCTACGCTGTCTCCCCCGGAGATATAGAACGGTCATAAGACAGAGGAAGAGAGTCAGTATGGTCGCATTACCTTCTTCCAACACCACATTCTCTACCCATTCCTCTACCTTTGGATACACTTCCGGTAAGGAATCCAGTACTTTCACCTGCATCCCGTTTTAAAAGTTTTCGTGAGCTTGCTCATTCAGAGGAATTCGGGGACCGAGAAATCATCACTCTCTTACCATGGCGGTATCAGCATAGTTTTTCCGAACCCATAAACTCGCAAGAGCAAGCGTGACGGGTAATTTGGCAGTACCATCGCTCTGGAGGGCCTGATCGTAGTAACGTTTAGCAAGATGGAGATCAAAGGGAAGACCTTCTCCATGCTCATGCATGTAACCTAAGTTGAACATTGCTTGTGCGTTTGATTGTGATTTAGCATACATGTACGCTTCTGCTGCACGCACGAAATCCCTCTCTGTACCCTAAGAACATGAGTAAGATCCCCGTAGAAAATCAGTTGAAGCCAAGATTTTGTGAAACAAAGACTGATCTCTTGGAAAAACCAGATGGGTATATGATGGAAACGGATTAAGTAAAATTCAGGTGCATTGTCCGTTGATTCACAGTTTTCCTGAAACAGAACAATTCTTAAATTCTTACCCGGCCGTAGTAATATGCATCTCCGATAAGCAATGCAGCATGTTCGTTTCCCTGTTCAGAGGCACGCCACCACAACGAATGAGCACGGTCGTGCCTCTCCTTATCTGAGCAAAACCCAGAAACTCCCATACACATGCTTCTTTCCCCGTATTTATCGAGGATCCAGGCAGCATTACTTTGTGCGACTTCATAACCAAGCTCTGACGTTCTTGAATACAATATAAAAGCCTTCCCCACATCACCTTTTAAGTAAGCTTCAAGAGCCCATCTAGAGAGAGAACTCCATGGTCCTCTTTCCGCTCACTTGTAAAACGTTGTGGCCTGCAACCAAAATGCTAGGACGATGAACAAACAAGCAAAGTACCAAGTCCCTCAATGATGTAGCCAGAGTGCTCAGAGCTAATCATAAACACAGCAAAGAGGGTTGGAGATAAGGATAAAAGCACGACACAGTGAAAAATTAACAGGGGTAAGGAAGAAAGTTACCATTTCTAAGTTCCTCGTAAGCCCAACGCCACTATGGAACATCTTGGCGAGTTGATAAAAAGCCTTTGGTTGACCAGCATTGGCAGCAACAAAGAAATATTTGGTTGCCAGCCTCACATCCCTCTTGACCCCAATGCCTTTAAGATACAGAACTCCAAGGTTATAATGCCCACTAGGGTCCTCATTATCAGCGGCCTTCTCAAAATATTTTCTTGCCTGCACTTGATATTGAGGGAATCTTTTTGGGTCATCTATATACTACAGTCATTGATCAAAGTAATGATTTTGAAGAAAAAAAAATGAAAGAAACACCACATGTATGACGCTTGCTAAAATACTTTTGTGCTATCAATTCGTTTTTCGCTACCGAGATCAAACTAAAGAAAGCGTTTGGCCATATAACTTGACAGCGAGTGTTTAAACGTCCCGATAACCACAAAAGACGAAATGTTAGCAACACTTAATAACCATATAATTTTCCAGCTAAACAAACAAAGAAACTAAATTTCTAGTCAGATAAAGCGTAAGCCTAGGATGTATGAAGCAACTTACCTTGGTGTAGTTTCTGTTATCTACTCCATAGCCTTTAACATACAAGTAACCAAGGCCATTAAATGCCGAATAGAGACCTTGTTTTGCTGCAAGTGTAAGACATTCAAGTGCCTTTTCATAATTTCTCTCAACACCAGCTCCTCGAGCATATATCTCACCCAGAAGTTCCATTGACCTCGCCTCTCCTTTCTCTACCGCCTTCGAAAACCAGTACAACGCTTTAGCGTGATCACGCTTTAATCCTCTCAGACCAAAGTAGTAAAACAATCCCATATTGTACATTGCAGCAGCATTCCCTTTCTGAGCCTGATATTCCAATATCTGATAATCTTCATCATCCTCCCCACGAGACTTCCTTAGTCCATCTTTATTCTCCTCTGTTCCTATATGGATCCTAACTGGCTCAACCATGGGAGAGTCCTTAGAGATCAAAAAGCTATTCACTGCTGTCTCAGCTAATTCAGCATATAATTGCACAGCTTTATCATGCATCTGTGAACAAGATCACAACAAGAAACTAAAAACACTTACATAAGGCCAATTGCTACATAAACAGTTCTTAACTGTACAATAAAGAGCAAAACCTGCAAATTCGATAAGTTCCCATTTGAAATGTTGAGAGTTTCTTGCTTACATTTTGTCGTAGATATCTGAAAGCGAGTGCCATTTTCGACTCCATGTTTCCTCCCTCGGCTGCGAAATGATGGTACAAAATCGATTTGCTTCGGCTCGTCTCTCGCATCATCCCGATCCCGTACACGAACCCCATCACCGACTGTGCGTGCGGATCTCCGGACGAAGCAGACGAATCGATCTCTGAGACCGCTTCCTCCATCAACCTAGTGTTACCCTCACTCGCCGCCGAGAGAATCTTACGGAGTCCGGAGTAATACTGCGGCGAGGCGGTGTGTGCGGCGGAATCGTTCGGTTCGAAGATTGGTCGCCATGAACCGGGATCAAGCTCCTCTTCGGATTTAGATTCGGATTCCCTAAACTCATCGAAATCAGAGGATTCGTATGCGCCGGTATCGTCGAAACCGCGTTTGAGATCGTCGTTGGAGAGAACGAGAACGAAGGGACGAGCATGAAGGCGATGAATGTAGAGAGAGTATGAAGAAGAGAGAGAGTGATATGATACTGTGACCTGATGAGACTCGCATTTCTATCTTCTCCAATTTCTTCTTCGTCTTTTTGTAGTTTCTCAGTGATTGATTTCGACTATCGATTTGACGAGGATTGATTGAAGAAGAGACAAAAGGGGTAATTACGTAATTTGTGGACACTCATCCAGTAACCATCCGCCACGTAACCATATGCATCTAAATGACATTTCATGGATTCTTTTTTTTTTTTTTTCCTTAACTACGCGTTATGAACTTTGATTGGGCTTGGATCATACTCTAATAGGTTACTTTAACCTTAGTAATAACTTTTTATTATTTTTTTTGAAATTTTCCTTAGTAACTTTAGGACGATTCTTAAAATATCACATTTCAAAAAAATCAATTAAAAACATGGGTAATTGCAAAAATACCATTTTTGGTGTGTACATTTGCAAAACTACCATTAATAATAGATTTTTAAAACTTAAATCTTAATAGTATAAAACCTAAAAAATGTTTTGACCCCTAAAACCCCTAAAACCTAAAAAAATTAAACCCTAATACAACATAGTTAATCCAAATATAAATGATATAATGAATTTTTTTTTTTGAAAAAGTGGTATTTTTTCTAAAATTTTGAAAAGTGGCCTTTTTTAAAAAATTTCTCTTAAAAATATTACTATTCCTTTTAGTTTTTGAATACTACTAACACAAATTTAATATTAAAATGATTCAAAATTTTAATCTAATAGAAAAAAAGCTTAAACACTAAATTAGAAAAATGAACTCAAACATAATGTTTTATTTTTGTAATTAATTTTTTTTTAAAACACAAACGTGTTTTTACATGATAATTTGTGATATTACTAAAAACTTAAATTAACGGTGGTATTTCTGGAACAAAACTTAAAATGTGTTAATTTAAAGTATTTCTAATAAAAAAAAAATTTTGAACCTTAACAATTTTGTTTTGATAAGAAAAAACGCAAACAATTTTGTATTTTTTAGGTAGATTACATCAAAAGTTAAATTTTGTAATATTTCTGATACAATGTAAGATAAGAACAAATTAGGGAGTGATTCCATTGCTTACATGCACTAGGCCATGTAACTTAAATTTGCACTAATCCATAGTATTATAGAAACAAATCAGAAAAATCAGGTAATAAAATCCATGAAATTCATAAACAAATCTCACCTTCACAATTCCCAAATTTAAAAAATCACACATTCATATGTAATTCCCCCATTTTCCTCTATTTATAAGAAGAACACAAATATACTGATTAAACAAAAAAAAAAAGAGATAAATCACAAGAAAAAGATGGAGATTTGCAAATTTCTAGCCTTAGTCGTCGCCGTCGTGGCTCTCTTTTCCGGTCAGACAAAAGCACAACTAGGAGCAAGCACTCAGGTAATGGCTTGCATGCAAAGACTATTGCCGTGTCAGCCGTACATACACAAGGTGGACCCGCCGCCTCCACCGTCGTGTTGCGCCCCGATGAAAGAAATCGTGGAGAAAGATGCACCGTGTCTATGCACCGTTTTTAACAATCCGGAGATGCTTAAAACCCTAAACCTCACCAAAGAAAATGCTCTTGATCTTCCCAAAGCATGTGGAGCTAAACCTGACGTTTCACTATGCAACAACAAAACCGCTTGTGAGTATTATTAATCCTCAAATTTATATCCCTTCAGTTTATTTTGTTTCCGATAAACTGTAGGAGTTCCGGATCCTTTCAGTTTGATTAAACAATTTATTAATGTAATGAGGTTTTCGTATGTTTTTTCTTTTGTTAATGAAGCTTCTTCGCCTACTGCATCGCCGGGATCTACCAACGGTATGCTCTAATTTGTATTTAGTCTCCAATATGCTGTTACATTTTATATAGAAAGAACATAAACTCGCCATGAACATTTATTTGTATGTTTTAGGGGCTAACTAATGAACTAAAAACACCTGTTTAAAAACAACTGAATCGATGGTTTCATTTGTCTATGCTATGAACGGGACATGTAAGTCTAATACATATGAACTGGTACATACGATACTATTTGGAGTTACAAATTTTTTAACCTTGGCTATATATATGTTTAGTCGCAAAAGAATTAGAGTTAATAATTAATTTGGTTTTATTTTGTAAAAATAATTGATGTGACGATCTCATTCAACAGGGGGCTCTTCACTTCAAGCTATCAGCTTCGACGGACTTAGCTTTGTGTCTGTTTTTGTGGCAATGATCTTCCTTTGATTAGTGTTATATCTCTTTATTTTAAGTCTGTGTTTTTTTTGTTGTCATCATTTTCATGTCTCTGTTATGTTTACTGTTAGTTTTTTCATAGTTGAATTCTCAATATTGGATCTATTTGGATTTTGATAACCCCTGATATGAGACCTTCGACTGTCGTTTATGTTTCAAAATGACAAAAAAAAAA